TGGCCTGCTCCATAAAAGGGTGGGTGTGTGAATGTCCATTGTCATAGGTGTGGGAACAATATTGGCTGTAAGCTGTTCCCACATCACCTGTACAAGGTAAAATATACACCTTCTTTCCCAGGGTATCCCTGCTTCTAAGTAAGGCCATAGCAAAAATGGGGGTCCCACATCAAGGGGACTCTGGATCTGGAACTATAAATTAGTCAAAGACTAGGGTTGCCAACTTGCCAGGTCCCTCCTGGCAACCGGTGGGGGATGAGGAGGACTTACTGAGAGCAGCAGGGAGGCCCATCCAATATGCAGCAATGTGTCTATGTCACTGTCCACATGACCTGGAAGTGACATCATCACATCTGGGACATCAGGGAGGTGCTCTAGTATTTGGGCAAAAACTCTATGGTAAATTTGGCTTCTACCATAGAGTTTTTGCCCAAATATCAGAGCGTCACCCCAATGTCCTTGTTGCGATGATGTCACTTCTGGGTCATGTGGGCAGTGACGTAGACACATTACTGCATGTCGGATGGGCCTCTTTCTTCTAAGGGGGACGTTCTCCCCCTGTTGGCCAGCTGATCAATGGCGGGGTTGTGGGGCCTGGCAGCAGGGGACCCCTGCCTCCTCTGGTGGGGTCTGGCAAGCCTATCAGAGACTGAACACCACAGAGTACATAGTAAGCAATGCCAGGCAAATAGAACAGAGAGCCATAGAGATACAGGGGTAGAATGGCTCCTTTACACCCTCCATATCTATGCTGTGCTCCTGTTCTCCAAATGTTGTCTTTCTCGTGAGAATCCAGAAGTTAAGGGCTGTAGGTCTCTTCTACCTATGGCTGTGTCATTACCTGCAAATAATTTTTTTTCATGTTATTCTTCAGCCTTCCCTCTCCTGGAGGCAAACGATCCTACAGGTGAGTAGCTTCTTCTGTTTTGATCCTAGGTCCTTCGTTTCCATTGTGTCATAGATGTGGCAGACGGGTTGTCTTGCTGTCTGACAGTGGACTTTATTCTTGTACCATTTAAGGTCAGGTTAATTAGCAAGGCCCTACAGAAATGCTTTTAAGGAGCCCCACAGGCAGTCATACATGCAACCGTCCTACTGTGATACTTCCTGAACATGTGCTAGAAGTTATCAGGCGTTTCCAGAGAGGATTTCCTTCATGTCAGGTGAATGGATCTGGCACACCTAAGACCAGCAAGTTGTTAAGTGACATGCTGATTTCCAGCCGCATAGACCAAATCCACTTTGAGCAGTATGTTTAGAAAGCTAGAACATATGAGGGTACATAGGAAGTTTCTTTTGAAGTATAGGAGGACTGTTTCCCTCTGTTCTTTGCCTTTAAGGCGATACAAATTGCCACTTGAAGAGGTCCAAAACAAGGAACACACTGTGAGGCTGTAAGAAAACAAATGGCTTATGT